CTTTTTGAAGCAGGGTCTCCCTGTAGCCCAGCTGTCCTGGAACTCACTATGTAGACCAGGCTGGCCTTGAACTCACAGAGATCCACCTGCCTCTGCCTCCCAAGTGCTGGGACTACAGGTGTGTACCACCACACCCAGCTTTTTTTTTCTTTTTTTGAGATAGGGTCTCACTATGTAGCTCTGGCTGGCCTGGATCTCAGCTCTGTAGACCAGGTTGACTTAGAACTTGCAGAGTTCTGCCTGCCTCCACTGGCCTTGGACTAAAGGTGTGTGCCAGCTCATATAGCTTCCAAATTCTTCCCCCAGTCTCTCCCTCTTGCTCTTTTTTTTTAAAAACAAAAAAACAAAAAAAAAACAAAAAAACACCAAAATCTCTCAGTGTAGCCCATGTAGGCCTCAACCTTACAGTCCTGCCTCACCTCCCTGAGTGCTAGTATTGCAGGCATGCCATCACCACACATGGCTTCTATATGCCTTTTGCTGTTAGAATGCATTGCTTGCTCAGGCAGTTGCCTCCACTCACCTCATGTGACCCGGGGTCCTGGTTTCGGGGGGGTCTAGTGTGCCTTCTTTATTCACAGCTAGGTGCAGTGGGGGAAGAGGGGGAGTTTGTGTGGACAGTAATCTCTTGAGCACCCACTCTTTGCTTACATGTACTACGCTGAATCTCCAGCAGTAAGTGCAGCCTGTTGGTGCTCAGTGGTCGCAGTGTCTGCACACAATTCCCCTTTGCCTCCAGGAGTCTCAGAGTCTTCTGCTGCTTACTGGCAATGAGGAAAGCACTGGTGACTATGTCTTAATGCTTTCAGTGATTGGCTGATGTTAAAGTGTGGTAGTCCTATTTTCTCAGTCTCTGATGGTCTGTATGCTCTTCCTGTCTTCCTCCGATTGTGATAATAATTTATCAGACTACCCATTTTGTTCCATGTATTAGTCCCCACAACCAGATTTCAGAGTAAGTGACCACATCCTGCCTGACAGATGAGGAATTAAAAACTTAAACAAGATAAGTCATTTGCCAGGAGGAAACTACTAATGCATAGGGAAGCTACAGTTTGATGGGGGCAGCATCTGACCCCACTGTTTACATACCTTCCCTCTGGCAGCGTGGTACTCTGGGAGATGCTTCAGAAGGGTCTTTGCCACGTACTCAAAGGAGCCTTTGGACTGATGATGCCCCATTCATCTTTGTGTTTTTCCTTCCTAGGGATGCTGTGAAGAAGTGCTTTGCTGCGTGCCTTTCATAATACACTGCCAGTCTGCAGCGCTTTGGAGGGCAGTGTGGACGGAAGCTGGTAGACAGTTTCATGAATGGCCTCTAAACCTCTGTCTTTACAGACATGTGCCTTTTATCTTGCAGCAGTGTGTTGCTTACAATTTGAACATTTGTGGGGAGTGCCTGTGGGAGCAGTGATGTGTCCCCAATCCCAAATGTTTATAGCACAATGTGAGAGGTGGGAGTTCTATGTCTCATGCAGTGGACTCTTCATCATGACCTGTTTCCTCTCTGGATGGTGTCCTGTTGAATTCTCACAAATCAGTCCTTGTTTAATTGTGGCAAATAAGCCTCAGGAACCTCTGATTCCCAGGTGGCAGCAGGAAGCGCTGTCAGAGGTTACAGGGGTATAACAGGATGGGACAGAAATTTGAAGATTTTTTCTCTGTCAAGGAGACCATTGACACTTTCTAACACAGCTTGGCCAAGCTGCTTCCCTAGTGTCTGAGAACAAGTGATTCTTCCCTTCCCAAGACTCCAGAGGGCCTGCCATGGAGTGAAGTACAGAATAAACACCTTCTAGTGGGGGCTGGTGAAATGGCACAGAGGTAAAGGCTCCTTCTGCCAAACCTGAGGACCTGATTTCGATCCCTGGGACCCATATGGTGGAAGGAGAGAGAGCCAACTTCTGCAAGTTGTCCTCTGACCTTCACACAGTGCCATGGCACATAAACACACAAATATATGCTAAATAAATGTAATTTTAAAAACTTAAGAACAAAACCAAACACCTTTAGTGATACATTGTTCCTTTTTCTGGACCTTGGTACTTCCTGTTCTGAATCACACCCAACTATGGTGTAGACTCTCCGGCTCTCACCCACCCATGTCTTGTCTGATGATCTTGTGGCACTAGGTCAAGAGAGTAAAGCAGCTGCTGCAGACCAAGCTATTTGCTTTTGGACAAGAGCCATTGGAAAGTGAAAAAATCTTGATGTTCTCTATTGTAAATATTTACTTTAAAATTGGTTTTGTTTTCTGTTCTCTCTTGGAGTTGGGCTAGAGGAAAGTGTGTGGGAAGACAGATCCCTTGAGGGGCCAGCAGGAGGTAGGCATACCTACCAAGCAACCTTTAAATGGTCCAGCATTGGCATTGAGCTGGGCACTGGGAAGCTACTTGCAGGCAGGTAGTCCTGTCTGAGCCTGATGCCTAAGCACATACACAGTATTCTTGTGTTGGTGATGTATCTGGTCCTCATGAGAGCTGTGTGAGGAAGCAGGATTGTTATCTCACTGTGCAGTTAAGAAAATAGGCTCAGATTTATTTCCATATCACCTACATCTGTAGTGGAGTAGCCCAGAGCCCAGGTGCCTCAGTCTCTTTCATGATGCCATGTTTCCTAGCATGGCTCTGGATGTATCTTGTCATCTTGTAACTTTTTATTGTTTGTACCTTTTCTGGTTCCAGCATCTCTGTCACTTGTGCCATCTCCCTTTTTGGCAGCTTCTCTCTGAATCTGTAGGGTAACCACCATTGCCTGTGCTCCCTTTCAGCTGCTCTGTACTGTCTGGACACCATTAGTGTCCTGTCTTGACAGCTTGAGTTCCTGGCAATCTAGCTTTACCATTTGCTGTTTGCCCGGGGTCAGCTGTCTACTGTGGCTCCTGCTCTGACACCTCCAGACCAAAGGCAGTGGGCACTAGTTGTCTCCTTGCTTGTGGGCAGTTGCTGAACTGTGGCTACTGTCTTTTCTTGTGGACTGGAGAAGCATTGATAGGCTGATTGGGGCAGAGGGCAGGTCAGTTTTCCTAAGTCCTTTCTATGCTGTTGAAGGTACCTGCTGAGGTCTTCAGCCTGTCATCAGTCAAGAAGGGAAACTATTTGCCATCCTCTGGTTTTTGTGAGGCCTGTTCATATTGCAGGGGACTTGGGAGACTGTTCAGATCTTGGAAGAGCTCAGGTGTCAGAAGGGGCTTGAAGGAGTTTAGGGGTACCCACATCTCCTCTCAAGAAATATGAGGCTAGATTTATTGCTTGCAAGTTCCAACCAGCTGGAGTGATATACCTAAAAGGCTGCCCCTTCCATGCCCGCTAGCTGGGCTTCACTTCGTAGGACTTGAGTCCAAGTACCTTTTAAGATGTCACCAGGGCTGAATAGCATAGTGGCACCAGTGTGGTCTCAGGAATCAAGCAGATCTGAGTGTGAACTGTAGTTCAGTCACATACTAATAGAGCTGTTTGAACAAATTACTTAATGTTGGTTTCTCAGTTTCCTCTGTTTCAAAATAATGGGCTGAAGCCGGGTGTGGTGGTGCATACCTTTAATCCCAGCACTCAGTAGGCAGAGGCAGGTGAATCTGTGAGATTGAGTCCAGCCTGGTTTATATCATGAGTTCCAGATCAACTGGGGCTACAGGGAGACCCTGTCTCAAAAAACAAACGAACCAAGCAAAATAGTGGGCTCACAAATCCTGCTGGCTGATTGTAGGATATCAGTGAAGATGCATTATCAAGTCTTAGCGTGGGGCTAAGAAGAGTTCTATTAAAATAACTGATGACGCTTAAAGGTGACAGGATGAATACTTGACTTAATTTGTCTGGTAAATACTACTCTGTCAGCACTGTAGACACTACCATATATGATCTCATTGAATGGTTGTAGTGACTGCCTCCATCGCTATAAAGTACCTGGCCTATACCAGCTCCTGCCAGGAGGGGGCGTCAGGAGATTCTTGGTGGGAGCTCAGTCTGACTCTCACAGTCTGTGGCCAGTTTTCCATGGCAATTTGAATGTGGACACTTGAGGAAGCTTTTGGATGGCCCTGTCAACCAAGATCTTCCCAGGTTCCCAGGTTTTTCCTTCAGTTGCCTTATTATTTGAGTGTTCCCTTGTTTTTGTTTGGACTGTGAGAGGAAGAAACTCACTTCAAATCTGTTGATGTCCCTACCAAGCTAGAGCGTTGGTTAAACAACATAGTGGGTGAGGCCGAAGTAGAGAATTAGGCCTCCGACTCTGGCTGTTAGTGGTGTCTGTTTTTTCTCCCCTCGCCTCCACTCGCCTCAGTTCACTGCTGGGTGAGGGAGGCACCACTGAATTTTGGGAGCGACAGAAACTATTGAGGCGTCTTTTGCCGAGGGGAATGTGGGGGCTTAACCATGCTTCCAGCTGTGAGGAACCTGTAGCCCGAGTGCCACCTTCCCTGGGCAGCTGTGAATACTACATTGGGAGGATCACTGATGTCTGGACCAGGATGGCAATGCCTGTTCCTCTTGGCCTCCCCCTTCTTCAAGCATAGGCTGCTTGCTGGGATTTCAGTAGGGTGGTCCATGTCTGAGCTGAAAGTGTCTGCTTTCACAAAATGAGCTCAGGGAGCATGCGGTTCTGTTCTGCCTGGCTGCTGTCCACACTTCAGCTCAAGGCATCCTGTTCCTGGGAAGGTTGAGATACTATCTCTAGCTTGGCATTCCCCAGGGAGATTATCTCAATGTGGGAGTCTCTCTGTCACCCTCCTGGTAACTGGATTATGTGACTTAAGTGCCACCTCCCTTCCACACAGTCACTATAGGCCGAGAGATCAAGAAATGGAATCATGAAATGTATTCCATATAAAATTACTTTTTTGATACTTCCATTAGAATAGATAATTAACAGTTGGGCTGAACAGATGTGAAAGATGGCTGCTTCAGCTTCTGCTTTTGTTATCCCCATTTGAGAGTGACAGATGTTGCAGTATCCATGGTGAGAGATGGTGGAATGAATTGGTCATTTGAAGTGTGTGCTCTGGTTGTGGCTTCCCATCCTGTGGTGCCCCACACTAGGCCTTCCTGGTCTGGCCTTTCCATAGATAAATTCTCACTAGCTTCAGTTGCAGAATTACATATACTTTAAAATTCACAAAGAAGCCTAAAACCTCATTTTCAGCAATTTTTAAAAGAAAAAGCATTTAAAATTATATAAAGATGTTTGCTAGACTTTTTGGCATGGTCTTTAAAAAATATTTTTTTTATTAATGTCCAAGGCCTTTTTTCTATATTGGTAAGTTTAACACATACAATAGCCTACAGATTACATTGTTAAAGGAAGTGAGTGGCCTTTCACCTGAAATTAAATGCAAATTTATATCTGTGTAACTTAAAAAAATTTTTTTTTAGTTTATTTTTATGAGTGTTTTGCCTTCATGTATGTAAATCATTGTGGGTGCTGGGAACTCAACCCAGGTCCTCCAGAAAAGCAGCAAGAGTTCTTATTTGCTGAGCCGTATCTCTAGCCCTTTTGTAGCTCTTTGATATAAAAACAAACGCCTAGAAGTCTAAATTACTTAAAAAGTTTTATTTAAAAGGTTCATTAGAGGGTGATCTTAACGTGCCTTCCAAGTCATAATTTTATGAAGTTTTGGGATCATGTGTTTTTAGTCTAGAGAAGATGAAAGTGCAGTGGAATTTGATGCCAGTTCACTCAAGATAGGATATTTAGTTCCACTTTGATTATTTGCAGCTCTCCTGTGACGTGTAGGTGACACGTCACAGTAAAGCACCTGGTGCTTAAGTGTGAATAGACATCATATCCATTCCTGAACCTGAGAGCTGACATCTAGGCTTAGAAACATTCAGAGTGATGTTCTGTACTTAGGCTGATCTGAAACCAGGGAAAAGTGGGTCCAGTAGATAAGAGAAATTTTGCTATTTAAAATGAAAGGTCAGCACACAGTATCATAACAATAATGTGTGGTATGTACTTAGAACAATGCCACTGTGTGTGATAAACAGCTATCAACTATAGCAACAACAAAAAAGGACAAATGGCCTCTGATATAAGTAGGCTGACCTTGGGGTAGAACATCTTTATGAGCATCCTTAAGATCAAATGGTGACTGGGGATGTAGCAGTAGAGTGCTTGCGGGAAGCCCTGGGATCAATTCCTGGCAATGCATAGACTGTTCTTAGTAATGCATGCCTGTAATCCTAGCACTTGGGAGGTTGAGGCAGGAGAATCAAAAGTATATTAGATCCTCTCTCAAAAAATAAGAAAAAAGAAAGATCAAATGGAGGCTGAGATCTGGGCCTATGCACATGACTGCCTGTTCGGTGTCCATAACTCCACTAAGAAAGGAGCCTTGACTTTAGGAAAAGTGTTCTTTTTTTCTCTTTTTTCTTTTTCAATGTATTTACTTAACTTGAATAAGGAAAGAAGAAACAAAATAACAGACCTGAACTCTGTTCTTCTGTTGCTTTTGTAAATGCTGATTGTGACGTTGAGAGGATATTCAGAAGCCTGTGGTGAAGGCTTGAGAGTGCAGGACCATGTGCAGTATGACTCTGGGCGCCAGGGTGCCATGCCCAGCATCACCACCACCACTAGCAACAGCAACAAAACCGCCTTTGGCAAACTTATATGGCTTCAGAACATCGCACCTGTTCTAATACAATGATTTTTTAGAACATTTATTTAAAATGAAAGAATTTGTGTAATTGCATAGGCATAGCTAATTTTGAAATTTACTGATTGCATAATTCAATTTTTATATATCCAAAAATAGAAGACCACTTTTCGTACTTGAGAATCTATTTCATACAATGTTTTTTACTTTTCATTAACTTATTTCAAAGAGAAAGAATGTTGCTGGAAAACGAAGCTATTTCTCCCCTTCCATCACAGTTATTTTTTCCTTTTCTCCAATAAATGGTTGACATTATGATCTTTAATGACTGTGGTGCTGTCTCTCATTTATGTCTGTTTTTCTGGGAATCATTGAGCCAAATGAAACCTGTGCAACTAAAAGACCAAGAATAGTGTGCAGCACAGATTGTAAGCACTCAAGGATATTTTTCCTAAATTGCTATATAGGTCTTTTTTTTTTTCCCCTTCAGATGACTTAAAATTTACCATCTAAGGGCAGTTTTGAAGGCTTTTGAAAATTAAGAAATTTTTGTATTTTGGAATATTCTTACACCTCTAACTGGTTAGTTATTTTGTATAAATTAAGCTATCAAATTGACAAAGTTGTCCATAATATTTCCTTATTTTAATATCTGATTTTTTTTTTTTTTACTTATTTCACATCTTTTATTGCTTATAGTGATTTTAAAAGGAAAACTGAGTCCACTTGAATGTAAGTAAATCTGTTTGAACAAGAAAAAGATTCTGTAACTGAGTAGTGGTCCAGGCAAAAGATGATTCTGAATGCCCCAACCCATATGTACAGCTACATTTATAGCAGAAGTAAAGGAAATGACATATAAAAACAACTTGATTGGTGTTGGAATAAGTCAGGAGTGCCTGGAATGTAGAGCATGGCCAGGCTGGAGACCTCCCAGTGAGGATGGCATTCTAGACACACTGTCTCTTACCAACAGCCCCTAAGCAAAACTATTCGTTCTCTAATCCTTTAATCCTGACTGGGTCTCTTGTAGATCATGTGACTGGAGGACAGGACAAAGGCCACATAGCCTTAGAGGCCCCCTCCCTCCTCCTCCCTGCCCACCAGAAAACCAACCCCACCTCTTTGCCTGTGAAGCTTTCCTATATAAACCTCTGCTTCTGCCATAATAAACGAGCTGTCCACTGACACAGTCTCCTGGGTGTTTCTTCTGCTGTACTCCCCCCAGCCCAAGGCCCCCCCCCCCCCCATCAATCTCTCTCCTAGTCCTGACTTTCCGTGACGGGGACCATGTGTGCAACCAACAGTCTCCCGATAGCAGCAGAGTCCAGGCTGAGGAGAGACCGACAGATTGGCAGCAGTTGGCATTACCTTTTATGGAAGTCGTCTGATCAGTAGGTAGCCTGTGATTGGCCGAGATTCTGGACTGCAATTTGCTGACACTGGGTTGCTTGGTTACACCTGTAAGCCAAGCATTTGAGAGGCCTAGGCAAGAGGGTCGCTGGAGCTCAGGAACCTGAGACCACTTTGGTCAGCAAGCATGATTCCATCTCAAAAATCAAGTTTCTTCTTTTTGATACAATTTAAGGTATCAATTTCCCTGTAAACATTGTTTTGGTTGTACCTTGAAATTTTTGATAAAATGTTCATTTTAATTCAGCTCAAAATGTTTTATTTTTGTGTGATGTCTTTGTTAACTCATTGATTACTTAGAAGTCTATAAACATTTGACTTTCAGATATCTATTGCTATTTTCTAATTTTTTTGTAATCAGAATATAGTCTAAGTTATTTTAATCCTTTTGTATTTATTGAGACCTATTTTATAGTCTAGAATCTTAGTCTGTTCAGTAAATCTTCCATATGTATTTAAAAATAAAGTGTAGCCTGCAGGTAATGAGTGGAGGGTTTTACAAGTAGCTTCATTCAAATTGGTTTGTGGGGTTTGGAAAAAGTCCTGTATCTACCATGATAGTACCAAACAGAGTTGTTTCACTGCCCAGAAATCTACTGTGATACCTCTATCTCTCCCTAACCCCTGACAGCCACCAGCCTTATTACTGTCTCCATATCTTTCTCCCCTCTAGAATGCCATAGAATTAGAATCATATAGACTAGTGTCTTTCAGGTAGGCTTTTCCATATGTTATTATAGCTTCATAGTACTTTTTTTTTTTTTTTTTTAGTATTAAATGATATTCCACTGTTGGAAAGTACCAGTTTATCCATTCACCTACTGAAGGACATCTTTATTGCTTCCAAATTTTGACACTTATAAAGCTGCTTTAATCACCTGTTTGTGTGTTTTTTTTTCCTGTGGATTTAAGTCTCAACTCCTTTGTAGGTAGCACAGAATGTGATTGTGACATCCAACTGTTAAGATTATGGTTGGTTTGGGGCCATCCTGGCAAGATGGCCGATTAGAGTCTGCCTCTGTGTGACCCAGTGAAGAAGAGTCAGGATAAGAAAAAAGATTTTCAAACAGGAAGAGCTTTGGAAATTCACAAAGGTAGTGGTGGGACAGCTGAAAAGTGCAGGAAAAAGGACAGCCACCATAGAACAAAGGAAGCCACACTGAACACAGCTCCAGCCGCTGGCTTCCTGGTAGAGGACAAGTAGAAGCCTCATTGGAAAAGTAAGCCAGACAGCCCTGGGAAGAGTCTGACAGTCCTCATAAGCCTTAAATCCACTTTGAGATTTTGGTGAGAATGAATTCTGAGATGGCCAGAACTGAGAGGAATCCCATTTTATGACTATGATTTGGAGGGCAGTGGCTGGGTACCATCCTGAGACAAAACCTATTGTTTAAATCTGAGCTGCCCTGAGGCAGCTACCCATGAGATAAAGGGACATTAACAAGTCTGGGAATGTGAATTTAATCTGCCACAGTCTCAGAGTGTGCTACAACCCTGGGAGACCATGTGGACAGCAGGAGGGCTAGATGTTGCTAGGGGCAGCACTGAGCATCAGGTCAGTCTCTCTGGTCCCACTTAATGCTTTTCATTGCTGTGGAGTCTAAGAATGCTGAAACCCAAGAGGACTGCTTGACATCCACATCCTTACCGCTCCAGCAGGGTATTAACACTTACGTTTTGGAAGCATGAAGCCAGGTCCTTTGTCTGTACAGACCCCAGTTCTGTGCTTCTTCCTCTATCAGTACACAGATCTCCAGCTGGAATATTAATCACTCCAAGGGGTATGATCTTGGGGGTCTTGGGAGGGTGGGAGAACCCGTTCCATCCACAGAGAACCACAAAACGAAGTATGACCAGTAGAGGGTCCCTGTGCACCTACACATGTGCCTGTATGTATATGTGTAAACACATGAACACAAATGCACATGTACACACATGCACAAACGTGTGCACACATACAAAGATTGCTTTGGCTATTTTGAGTTTTGCGATTCTTTTTTTATTCCATAAAAAGTAACATTGGAATTTTTTTTTTCGGCCTTTTTGAGACAGGGTCTCCCTGTAGCCCCAGCTGGGCCTGGAACTCACTATGTAGACCAGGCTGGCCTCGAACCCACAGAGATCTGCCTGCTTCTGTCTCCTGAGTACTAGAATTAAAGGTGTGTACCACCACACCTGGCTAATATTGGAATTCTGATCACGCTAAATCTGTAGGTCACTTTGGCTAAAAAGGACATTTTAACAATATTATTTTTTCCAGCACATATTTTATTCACTATATTTCTTTTTATTTATTTCTTATTTTTATTTTATGTATATGTGTATTGCCTGCATGTAGGTAAGTGCACCCGTGTTGTGCATTGCCCACGGAGGACAGAAAAGGCTGTCGGATCCCCTGAACCTGGAGTTATGGACAGTTGTTAGCTGCATGTGGATGTTGGGATTCAAACCCAGGTTTTCTGCAAGAATAGTGTTCTTAACTGCTGAGCCATTTCTCCAGCCCTTATTCAATATATTTCAACAATGTTTTATAGTTTTTATTTTACAAATACTTTATCTCCTATTTAATTTACTCCTGAGTACTTAATTTTTATTTTTTGATGTTGTAAATGAGATTGCTTACTTAACATCTTTTTCAGATAGTTCACTGTTAGTGTAGAGAAATACTGACTTTGTATAACTTCACTGAGTTCCTTTACCAATTGTAATAGCTTAATTTTGGTGGAGTTTTTGGGATTTTCTGTATCTAAGATCATGTCTTCAGCAAACAAATTTTCACATTTAGATCCATTTTATTTATTTTTTTCTGCTAGTTACTGTGACTAGGACTTCTGGTATTATGTTCAAATAAAATTCTGCCTATTTCCTTTTAGTCTCTGTGTCTTTATATATAAAAGTGCTTCCTATAAAAGGTTTTACCAGCCATGGTGGAACACATCTTTAATCCCAGCACTGGGGAGGCAAAGGCAAGTGGATCTTTGTGAGATCAAGGCCAGACTGGTCTACATTGCAAGTTCCAGGCCAGCTAGAGCTACAGGGAGACACTGTCTCAAAAAGACCAAAAAAAAAAAAAAAACCAAACAAAAACTTTCATCTTGCCTTTTGTGGTTCTATTTTTTTTCATTTGTTTTTTTATTTTGAGACTGGATCTCATGTAGCCCAGGCTGGCCTTGAACTTTTGATTGTCCTGCCTCTACCTCTAGACTGCTGGAACTACAGACATGTGCCACCATGGTTTTTATGTTTTTTAAATTTATATGTGTGTGTGTGCATGAGTGTATGCCACATGTATGTGGGTGCCTGCTAGAGAGGCCAGAGAAGTTAATGGATTCCCTGGAGCTGGAGTTGCAGGAAGCTGTGAGCTGCCTTGTGTGGATGCTGGGAACTGAACCTGGGTCCTCTGGAAGAGCGGGAAGTGCTTTTAACTGTTGAGCGATCTCTCCAGCCCCAGTTTTAAAAGAAATTTTATTATTTTTTCTGTGTGTGAGTGTATTGCCTGCATGTGTTTAAGTATACCTGTGTTGTGCAATGCCTGTGGAAGTCAGAAGAGGGCATTGGATCCCTTGGAACTGAAGTTACACACGGTTGTTAGCTGCCATGTGGGTGCTGGGAATCGAACCCAGGTCCTCTGCAAGAGCTCTTAACCACAGTCAGTGCTCTTAACCACTGAGCCATCTCTCCAGCCCTCTAGCCCCAGTTTTTATTTTGTTTTGGTTGTTTTTTGTGACAGGGTCTCCCCACCAACTGTCCTGGACCTCGCTACGTAGACAAGAGATCTCAATCTCACAGAGATCTGCCTGCCTTTGCCTCCTGAGTGCTGGGACTAAAAGCATCCACCCCCATACCAGGCTAGTTTTAATGGCTTTAAAAAACTATATTATTTATATTTTTTGAGTATGCATGTATTGCCTGCATGTATGTAAGTGTACCTGTGTCACGCAGTGCCCACGGAGGTCAGAAGATTGCTTCGGCTTCCCTGGAACTGGAGTTAGGGATGGTTGTTAGCTGCCACATGGGTGCTGAGATTTGAACCTGGGTCTTCTGCAAGAACAGACAGTGCTGTTAACAGTGGAACCATCTCTCCAGTCCCAGTTTTACGGTTTTTAACTGAAACTTTCTGAGTCCAGTCTCTCTGCTTGGTGGTGACGCTGCTTCCTTTTCCATCTGCTCCTTAGTCCTCCTTTTTGCAATATATAGTTACAACGGATGCAAACCCAGTTTTAAATAACACTACACCACCACATGCAGAGTACGGGTGCTTCCAATTTGTGACTAACCCTAACCCTTTCTGTTCACTTGCTTAGTCATTTGTGGTCTCTTCTATCGCCTTTGCTGTTTTATTTTGTACTGATGGGTTATTTTCAGAATTAAGTTCCACCTCTCCATTAATAATGAAAATGATGTGTTATTGGGATGTTCTGTAGTGGTTACCCTAGATAGCACATCATGTTTCTTTACCACATCAAGATATGTCAATTGGCGCTTTTCTCCTCAGACATTTTGGGGATTCCATTTTACTGTCACTTCATCACCTCATCCCAGTTTTTACATCATTGTTTTCATGTGTTCTTTCTTAAACTTCAAAAAACATTATTTATTCATTATTTTTATGTGTATGTGTGTATTGCCTGCATGTAGGTAAGTGCATCCATGTTGTGCAGTGCCCACAGAGGTCAGAAGAGGCTGTTGGATCCCCTGGGACGAGTTAGCTGCCACTTGGGTGCTGGGATTCGAACTGGGGTCTTCTGCAAGAACAACCAGTGTTCTTAACTGCTGAGCCATCTCTCCAGCCCCCTGTTTTCACGTATTTTAATTCAACATATACTTGAACCTAATCAGGATTGTTATTGTTGAGGACAGTTAATGCAATTATCCACATATTTACCATTTTATTGCTCTTCATTCCTTCCTATACCTCTGATGTTTAGTCTGATATGATTTTCCTTCTGCCTTAAGAATCCTCTCTATTATTTATTTCAGTACAAGTTTTGCTGGTGGCAAATTTTTTACACCTGGGCATGGTGGTGCACACCTTTAGTCACAGTGCTTAGTGGGCAGAGGCAAGCAGATCTCTGTAAGTTCAAGGCCAACCTGGTCTACATAGCAAGTTCCAGACCAGCCATGGCTATACAGTGAGACTCTGTCTCAAACAAAACAAGCCCCCAAAATTCAAAAATCCAAAAGCTCTTTTTGCATTTTTAATTTTACTTTTTTGTGTGCACGTGTATATATGCCAAGGGTCATCTGTAGAGGTCAGAAACCAACTTGTGCAAGTCAGCTCTCTCCTTTCACCTGTAGGTTTTGGGGATTGAACTCAGGTTATCAGGCTTGGCAGAAAATGCCTTTACTTGCAGAGCCATCTCACCTGCATTCATTCATTCATTCATTCATTCATTCATTCATTCACTTATTTTTGCTCATCTGAAAGCTTTCTGTATCTCATTTTCATTCTTTAAGGACAGGACTGGAAATGATACCCAAAATCTCAGGACTTCTAAATGGAGTCAGAATGAAAAGTTTTGGGATGGGCATGTTGGCCCTTAGAAGGCCAAGGTAGAAGGATTCAAGTTCAAGTTCAGCCTGGGCTGCATAGTGAGACTCTGTGTCAAACAAGAACAACAATCAAAGTGCCAGGATCTTTATGGTAGAATAATGAAATAAACTAAGAATAATGAATGGAGATTGTTGCTATGGAGATAATGGTAGGCTTATGAGGAACCAACCACAGATTGGTGCAGCAAGTCCTTATGTCTAAGGCCTGGAGCCATTCTTTAGAGACAAAATCCAAATGACTGATCAAGGAATTAAACATACTGTTATACCTGTGAGGTAATACAGATGGTCCAAGTTACCACTATTGTGATGGAGAGATGCCACATTACAGTTGTGCCTGAACAAAGATAGCCTAGCCCCTTGGCATCAGTTAGAACCAAGAGTGAGCCGAAGTGTTCTAGGAACTTGGACCTTCTCAATCCTCTCAGAACTATTTCCCAAACAAAGAACCTGCTCTGTATTTATTGAAACAGTACATCCATCATGAAATAGGAAAGTAAAAGAGGAACTTGTCTTTTCAGGGGATTTTCCCTTTCTGACTCCTACTGATCTAGAACAGCACAGACAAGTAGATGTTATTGATCTAATTCTACCTGCTGTTTGCAACACAAATGGGATAATTTGTTGCTTCCAAGGATATTCACTGCTTTCAGCATGCACACACACACACACACATACACACACACATATAAATAAATAAATAAATATATAATTTTAGACAGGGTCTCCCTGTAGCCCCAGCTATCTTGGAACTTACTAGGTAGACCAGGCCTTGAATACACAAGAGATCTACCTGCCCCTGCCTCCCGAGTGCTTGGATTAAGGCATGCACCACCATGCCGGGCTCAGCACTGATATTTTAATAAATACATACACACACACACCCACACACACACACACACACACACACACACACACACACACATTATTCTTTATTCTGGGCCAGGGGCAAGGAAGGGTCATGAGGGATTAAAGCTATATGTTTATCTTACAAAAGGAGTTGAAGGCCTAGTTACAAACTGAGACAATGCCCCAGAAGTCATTCCCACATGCTATCACTTGCTGAGGACTATGGAGCTGTCCACTGGCTTGTGTATCCACATCTGCTCTAACACTCATCTAATACCTGCTGGTCATTGTAGTCAGCTAGAGTGAGCCTCTCAGAATGCACTTTTTCATATGTAAGGCAAGGTTTCATCTTTGATCTACAAAGGTGGGTTCTACCCACCTTTTCATCTTTTTTTCCTTCATAGTCTGTTGTTTCTTCTTGTCCTGTGGTGTCTGTACATACTGTTCCATCTGTGTTTATTTCTCCTGTCTGCCCAGTTACCACCTACTTAGACTTCAGACTTCAGAGTAAGCTTCACATCCTCATGACTCAGTCCTGTTGTTTTCGGGCAAGTCTAAGTTCTACAAGAGTACGGACTGTTGCTGCTTTTGCTAACTACTGTGGTACTTAGCACAGCACCTAATGGAAAACAGACACTAATGAAATACTTGCTGAATGAATGAAAATATAAACATGTAAAGCAGTCTGTGAATGTACTTAAGGACAGACTTTTGGCTGTAGACAACTTTTGTTTACCCATACATAAGATTTAAGATTTCTTGTCTTTTGATGCCTTTAAAATTTTTTTAAAATATGGAATGCTTCATGAATTTGCATGTCACTCTTGCACAGGGCCATGCTAATCTTCTCTGTGTCTTTCCAATTTTAGTATGTGTGCCACCACAGCAAGCACCTTTTGATGCCTTTGGATGGACCTGTGACTTTCCTTTCCCCCAGTCTCCAACATGCCTGGTCTTCACCTGTTTTGCTAGTAGGTAGGTGTGTCTCCTGGTTTAGCTACATGAGCACATGGTAGATGTAATAACTATAGGAAAGTAAAGGTCTTTTAACTTTTGTCACATGGAGGATCAGCTGAATTTATTCCTTGTAGTTATTAGAGATTTCATTGGGGGTTTAGAATGACATTCTCATAGACATCCAGATACAGAAATAATTTTTGTGTTATGTTTCTGGTTAAAGCTAATAGACATTTGGGGGTCTGATGAATATCTGTCTGCTAGTGGCTTGCAAAATCTAACCTTTCAGATGTGGAAAGGATGAGCTATTGGCAAGGGGGCTGATCTTAAAAGGCTCTTATGACATTGTATTGGAACTGAATCCAGACATTAATGAAAGAGTAATCTTCCCCACATCTCCCCAAAGCTAGTAATCCCCAAGAGTGTGTGTTGGTGATTAAAACAGAAAAGTAAGAGCAGCTGTCTTTTTGTTCAGTTTAATTATGTCCATGTACCTGGGTGAGTGTTAATTTCCTGGTGTCACTGGCCAAGGGAGGAGAAAGGTGTTAGGTTTCTCCAGGGACTGAATGTGCAGACGTGGATTCTGCCCGGTGCGTACCTGGGGAACAATGCAGTTCAGGGGAGCTCAAGCTTGTGAGCTCAAGTTGCGTGCCTTTTAATTTCTGTCCTTTAAGTTGGACACATGGGTCATTGTGTCCCTAGGACATGGCAGTACTATCAGATGTCAGCTAGACTGCACACCTTAATTAATAGCTCATCACCTCACTCCACCCTCCAGTGACCAGCATCAGGGCATCTGTCAGGCCTGTGAGATAGAAGTCAAGTTGTCAGGGAGAAGAATATTTAGCACACCCCCTACCCCCCAAGAATCCCTTGAGCAGGCTTCATGGCCAAAGGTAACAACTTGGCTTCTCCTTTCCTTAGCTCCCAGTTCCTATAATTCACTTAGTATCCAAGAGTGTCTTCTCAGTCAGCCTGTGAACTACAGACTATTCATCAAAATGAATGCCCTTGGTGCGCTCGGTGGTAGAGCACTCACTTAGCATGTGTGAAGCCCTGGGTTTGATCCTCAGCATTGGGAAAACACACAAAAGACAAAATACCCTTGCTCATGGTGAACATGGAAAGCTGTTCCTTCCACCTCTTCATTCTTCTCCTGTTCTCTGTATTGCAGAGTGGTTCTGTCATCTTCCAAGTTGTCCAACTGGAAGCCTGAGCATCCTCATCGTGGTTGCCCTGATTTAAAAGCCATATCCAGAAGTGACAAATTCTGATGAATTCCACCTTCTGAGTACCTCTTCCTTATGCTGTGCCCTCTCCCTCTCTGTCACACCTACTGTAGATTACTGTAGCATCCATCTGCCTGGCATCCCACTGCTCTCTCCTCTACCTTCTTCACTGCCACCAAAGGGCTCTTCCTAAATGCAGATCTGACCAGGTTTTCTACCAGCTCATAATTATTCAGTTGTTCCTTATCACCTACACCATAGGTGTAGCTAATCCTTAGTTGTTTTTGTTTGGTCTTTAAGGTCACAAAAATTTAATACTTAAAATCTAGCATTAGTTAAAAAAGATAAAAAGAAAAAGCTTTCAAGCAGACAGATCATTATCTTCCCTTTAGCTTGGTTTCATCGCAGGTAATCCAGATGTAATTTTTTTCAGTTTGCTATGACCTGAGTGGAATGCTTAAGAGCATATTAAAAAGCATTTTCAAGCCAGTGTTAGGATCCATGGTGGTTTACGTGAGCTCATGTCCATGGTTTAACGATGAATATATTTTTTTAAAGATTTACTTTATTATTTATGTATGTGTGTTGAGATGTGTGTGGCCAGAAGAGGGTGTTGGATACCTTGGAGATAGAGTTGCAGGCAGTTGTGAGCCATCCAACATGTGTGCTTGTAACTGAAGTCAGGTCCTCTATGAGAGCAGCAAGTGCTCTTACCATCTCTCCAACCCTTTAATGGTGAATATCTAGTGGTAAGATTGATATTACCTTTGCTAATAAGTAAAATTCAGTAAGTAAAATGTTGCTACATTTATGTTGAAATAGTTCTGCAACAACAGTCATCACCTCACTCCACCCTCCAGTGACCAGCAGCAGGGCATCTCTCAGGCCACATAATTTTTGTATTTTTCTTCATGAGGTATTCCACCCCAAAATGTAGCTTAGTGAGCATTCAAATATTGCAAATGCAGTAAGCATTAGTAGAAAGGAATTGAAGGTAATCTAATTTCACAGCAAGTTCATAGCATTTCACAGAAATATATCTCAACTTTACCAACTTAACACTTACTTTGTTTCTAAGTCTTTTCTTGGTTGTTATCATGTTGGGGAAATGCAGTATAAATATCAACTTATTAATATTTATTTTATTTACAGTTCTAGCTCTGCAGCAGAGAAGGGACATTTACATGCAGTACTGGAAATCTACAAACAAGACTGACTATATTGTGACATTTGCACCCCTAGGTGTTCCCTTCATGCTTTTGTTTTAGAGAGGGTCTCACTCTGCAGCCCAGGCTAGCCTCAAAATCAGTTCCTCTGCATTTGTCTCCTGAGTGTGGGATTAGAGGCATGTTTCACCACTCGGGCAAATTTCAGTTGGAACAACTTTTTATTTAGGTTTCTCTTTTACTTTGTTCCTGTTTTGCAGGGCATGGCAAGGGTCCTCATTTTCATGCCTCCCTAGACAACCTTTCCTTCTAACTGCAGGAAAATTGTCCGTCTCCTGCTACCTGTGACCTCTCTCTCAGGGACAGATGTGGAGCCTCAATGCAAATTAAGCCTCAGTGATGCTGGGTGAATGAATGGGTGAGATGATGATGGAGAAGTTATAATGAGCAGGAAAACCCATCTGGAATGGGTGGTACCATTCCCATGAGTTGATCTAAGTACAAAGCAGAAAGGCTGCTGAGCACCAGAATTCGTCTGTCTTCTCTTTCTGACTGTGGACATGAAATGGCTAGCTGCCTCCTACTTCTGATGCCATGACTTTACCGCCATGATTGGCCATGCCCTCAAACTGTGACCCAAAGTAAACCCTTCCTTTCTTAAGTTACTTTTATCAGGTATTTGTCATGGCGATGAGAAAAGAAACTAATATGCACATGCATGCACACATACATACATATAATTTCCTTTCTTTTTATGTCTATGTGTTCATGTGGGTGAACAGCCCCAATGGGAAAGTTGCTTAGCCATGAAAAGCTTCAGTTACTCATCTATAGAATGGGTATAATTATGCACTTACCTTACAGGAGTGTTAAAAATGTTAAATCAGATGTAGACAGGTGTGATGGTTAATTTTCATCATCAACTTGATTGCATTTAGATAAACCATGGAAACATACCTCTGGGTGCATCTAGGAGGGTGCTTCCACAAAGGTTTAACTGAGGAGTGAAGATCAACTATGAACATGCATAGCACCATCCCACGGGCTGGGTTCCTGGACTAAATACAAAGTAGAAAGCAAATTGAACACCAATATTTATGTCTCTCTGTTTCCTAACTGTGCAAACATCATGACCACATGCCTCACGTTCCTGCCACCATGCCTTTCCTGCCATGATGGAGTGTATCCACAAACTGAAGGTCCAAATAAATCTTTCCTTCCTCGAGTTTCTTTTGTCAGGTGACAAGAAAAGTAACTAATACAGAATATTGATACCAGGAGAGAGGCTGTTGCTGTGATACACTGGACCATGTGGTTCCTAGGTCTTTGGAACTGGTTTGTGGGAGGAATGTGGAAGAGTTTGGAGTTGAAGCCCTGGAGTGCTATAAGTAGAGTTTAATGGGCCATTCTGGTGGGATCTTGGAAGACCAGAATGCTGAGAAAAATGCAGACATTTGAGACCCAGTTCATAACATTTTGGAGGAGAAGGGAACAAGGACTCCTTTGGGGATTGGGCTATAGGCTGTTCTGGTCAAGACTCTAGCTGCATTCTGTCCAAGTCTTGAGAACTTGAGTGAGACTGAATTTAAAAGTGATAGACTAATTTATTTGATGGAGGAAATTTTTAGACAGGATAGCATTTAAGCTGTTGCATGATTAATGCTCAGTTGTCCTAACCAGATCTACAGTGAGAGAGACCATAAAGTGGAACAGGAAAATATGAAAAATGTGCAGTTGGCAAGGAAAACAGTATGAATGAGCTAAAGTTGCAGACAAATTGGGTTCAAAAGCAGCTATGATTGTCAGAGATTAGCACCATTAAAGAGAAACCTGGAGCTCTGAACTGGGACAATAGGAAAGGTATCACGAGATCGAGAGCCTACCCTTCAAAGGCTCCAACTTGAAAGAATGAAAATTCATTTGAAAGGACAGATGCTGAACTGAGAAAGCTAATGAAGAGGTTTTCTGCTTGAAAACCACTGCCTAGGGCAGTGTTTTTTCAGATTCAATATCAAGACATACAGATACCATTACACAGCCCTCTTCCAAGGGAGCCAGGCTACATCTTGAGCTGGTAGCAGGACATGACAACATTACCCACATAGTGTAGGTTTTATAGGAATAAAAGAAGAAAGGGTGAGGGAGTCATGGAAGCTTGTGCCAAGATTCCAGTGACCCACTGAGGTCAGGCCTTTTGTGGCAGGTTGGAGTCACTGCAAGGAGGCCCTAAGAGACCATTGTGTGATGTTGGGAAGGTGCAGCCTAAGTTGCAGTGGAGGCCCCAGGATGCTGGAGATACCAGTACCATGGGATATCTGCCAAGAAAAGCTTCAGGAATGAAGGAGAATATTGTAAGAGCAGAGCTGGAGGGCAGGGTCACCTTCAGAACCCAGATGGATCCACATTGTGAGCTCCAGATGCCAGACATGGAACTGTAGGATTTAGTGTTCACCCTGTTGAGTTTCAGTCTTGTTTTGGCCCAGCTTTCCCTTGCTATGTCCCCATCTCTCCTTTTTGTAATGGGATTATTTACTCAGTGCC